GAAGGATAGAAAACACACAAGTTATATGGTTGTAGTTTAAACCTACGTATTGAAGTTTGATCTTGAATTTATATTTGAGAAGTTATATTGATATATGACATTGGAAGTTTTGAGTTACTGAAAGTGCTGAGCCTATGCCTATCAATAATGCTCATTTACCCTGTTCTTGTAAAAGAGTGCTTGGTGGGTTTAAAACTTGGATTTAGAAGGTTCTATTCAGTTGGCCATTACTGTCAGCTAAAGGGAGCTGCAGGTTAATGTGCTTTTCGTGGTCTTTCAGTTGTTTTGGCACACTGTAGTAGCTTTTAAGCAACAAATATTGTGTAATGAGAAGATGTTTTACTGCGGCCTTATCTATGTTGTTGCGGCTTTATCTATAGATTGTAAACTCTGTATTTAGAAGAATATTTGCTTGAGTCTTGACAGTTAGTTGCCTGAATCCTGATACAGTAGTTCTGTTTTCCTAATTTGGAATTCAGCTGTAATTTTTAATAAATTATTTTGTTAATTATTAAAAAAATTAGCAAAAACAGTATTAAAAGGAGTGGTGGGAAACTGCTTATCTTGAGTTATGTATTTTGTGTTAATAACAACAAATTATATTAAAATTTCATCAATCTCCAATAAATTTATGTTTGCTAACTCTGTTTTTATACATCTTTAGTCTAAAACGATCTCTGTTAGCACACACTACTTTTTGTCAATTTGCAGCATATAAATGTATGATAATATCATATGATGCAGTTTGCATTAAAGGTTGGTAATATAGAAAGTGATTCTCCTTGCTTTTCGAAAAATCAGTTTTGAATTGGCCTAGAAAGAATCGTAACATTCTTGCTTGTATTTTTCTTATGATTAAAAGGATATGATGTTCAAACCATTAAAACTTTTGTTGTATGGATGTCTTTAGTTTAATAGTACTAATGTTGCTCAATATTCAGGAAAGATTTCGGTAGGACTCTATATGCATCATATTACCATGCATTGAGCCCTACAGCAGCTGTTGGTGTTGAGTGTAGCTGGTTTATTAGAGTAGAAGTACAAACACTACATATATATTGGTGAGAGAGATTCTAATCGGAGTCTGATTAGTTTAATAGACATTGTGCCTGCAGATCAATGATATTATGGTGTTGTTATTGCCCTAGGTTTATTAAAAATATCATGTAGCTTTCAAAGTCAAATGAAATTTGGTATTTTTTTTAGAAACAGAGATCTTTTCTTGCAGGTATATACCATAGAACTGTTTATGCACTACGAAATTTGTTGCTTAATTGTTAGTTAGAATAATTGTAATACTTAGTGAGAGCATTTATATGTAGGTACCTGGAAACAGTGTTGCAGCCAAGGCCGGATTACGCCCAATCACGTGAGGCTTTGCTGGTAAAATAGTTCTTGGAGATATCATAGTAGCAATTGACAAGAAACCTGTAAGCTGTCTATGTACAATAATATGACAGTGTTAAGTAGTTGATTTCAGTTGCAGACATGTGTGGTTGTGATTGATTATGTTGGTCCTTGAACTTCAGAGCATAATGGCGGAGTTTGTTGGTGTTGTTCTTGGAGCTGTCTGCAGCATTGTATCACATCATGTGTTA